GGAACTGACTTAGGTGCTTGTCCAGTGCCAGCTTGAAGACTGCCCAGGGTCACCTGTGGTTAATATCCCCCTTAAGTTACTGGTAGGCAGTCTGAACAGTCCATCGGGCCCCCTGACACAATATTTGTATGGTCTCTTAAACGTGCTAGTGACCACCCCTGCTTTTCATTGGGGCGGGGATGGATGCAACGTCTGCCAATCTTTTGCTTCTTCGTAGCGAGTGATTTTCGTTGCAAGTTCGGTACTAAGTCCCTCTAGTAATTTTTCCAGGTGTATATAATCATCGTATCTCTCCCTCCTGCGTTCCAGGGAATACAGGTTTAGAAACCATCAAGCGCTCCCAGTAATTGAGGTGTTTATATCTCCGTTATGCGCGCCGTGAAAGTTTCGCTGTACATTTTCTAGGTCGCAATTTTCACCTGCCCCTTGAAGGTGCTGTTAGAGTGCAATGCAATATTCCAGCCTAGATAGAACAGTGACTGAAGATGTCATCATGGGTTGGCCTCCTTAAAAGAGTTTTGAAGGTTCTCATTATCCATCTGTCATTTTTCTAGCAGATGCGATTGCTACAATGTTTTGGTCCCTAGAAGGTGAGATCCCCGACATAATCCACTCCCAGGTCTTTGACGTTGGAGTTTCGCTCTATTTTGGGGCCAGAATTTGTTTGCACTCTGATAAGACATTATTTCCTCATGTTTACCATATCTGAGTAATTTGAAATTTCTCATCGTTGAACTTCATAATCGTTCACTGCAGCCCACTGAAAGATTTGGTGATGTCCGCCTGGAGCCTTGCAGTGTCCTGCAATGGAAGACACTGTCAGCAGATTCGGGTGTCCATCTGCAAAGGAAACACGGTGCTGTGGCTGACAACCTGTCCTATGTCGGTATGAGATGAGGAACTAATGGGAGCTAGTACTGTGCCTTGTGGTAACAGAGCTTATTCACCGTAGCTCCTCGACTTTACTCTGTTGACGACGTACTCTCTGTGTAACTGTAGGAGGAAATTATAGATCCATCGCCGACTTTTCCATGGTTATCACTTTAGCGCGCATTTTGTGCGCTATTACGCCATGGTTCACACTGTCGAATGCTTTTGCAAAGTCTGTAAATATACATCTGCATTCTTTTTTGTCTTCTAGTGCATTTAGGACCTGTCGTAGTGATCCCCCATATTGAGACTAGACAGAGCGACTGTTCTAAACCCATGTTGCCCTGGGTTGTGTAACTGATGGGTTTCTAGATGGTGGTGATCTTGCTCTTATGGACCCTTCAAAGATTTTTATGATATGGGATGTTAGTGCTATTGTCAGTAGTACTTTGCTGTTGCTTGTACTGCCCTTTTGTGGAGTGGGGCTATGTCGTGTTTTTAGTAACTGAGCACTTGGACGACCCCTCGTGTCCATGCTCCCTCTCCATAGGAGGAGAAGGCTCGTGATAGGGCTTCTTGCAGAGTTCTTGATGAACACAGACAGTTCCATGAGTCCTGGCCCTGGGCAGAGTGCATGGGACATGTCATTTATCGACCTGTCGAAGTCTTTTGGCGTCAGGATAACATGGGGGGGATAGGCTTGTGTTAATCAAATTTTGTGGCTCTCTCATAAAAAATTCCAGTTTGATCTTCGTATATATCTCTCAGTCTGGTAGCGGCTTGCTAAAACTGAGTCATATTGGGACGTGAGTAGCTCACTCATTTCCTTGCTGTCATCTGTGTAGGACCCATCTTGTTTAAGTAGGGGCCCAAGTGATACATACCAGTGATACATACACCATTATCAACAACCGGGTCATCTCCACACTCAGTATCTACCAATACATGTACAGCTCATCAGTTGAATATCATGATGGTCTTCACTGCCCGACATCCTTCACTGTGATTGTAAACACCACTATCAGATTCATCGTTTTTGTAATTATTAACACCACTGCAATCATCAGTTTGTTCATCATCACCACACTCATTTTCATAATGGCTGACAACTGTGGGTTTGATGTAACTCATTTGCAACCTCTGTATATTTTTTTCGACGTGGTGCTCAAGTGTGTTTCAAACACATTGTTGCTTCTCCAGTACTGTTATGCGCAGCTGCATGTTGGTACCACCCCAGCAAGACTAAGCGTCATCAGGAAGTTTAGTGAAGTCCCGAACACTGAGTCGTTGGCTGACTGACAGCTGACTCAGCCAGACAGATGGTGTCAACACCAGCAGCATTACTAATGTATAGCAGACGTGGATCGTGCGCTCTGTTGATGTACTCCCCAAGTGACTCGCTCAACCATATTGTCTGTAGTTCCAGGCATGGCCAGTTTCAGACCTTGAAGTTATCATGGTAGGCCCATTGCCTCATCAAGGGGTGATGGGTGAGGCGAGAGCCCGCGGCTAGCGATGTGGGCAGCTTCCGCTCTGCAGTCAGCATGAGCCAACGTGACTCCTGAGTCTTACAATTGATGACATTCTAATGCAACGGTCTGGTGTTTCTTGATCATATCATAGCACTGGTGAGAAGGGATGGGCCTTGCACACACTGCACTATCCAGTGTGGACTTACTAAAGCATTTAAAAGCAACGTGACCCCACCGCAGACACTGTAGCACTAACGGTGAGGTGTTTGTATCAAAGCTATTTTGTAACTCCTATTAAGGGGGGGGGCGCTGCACGAGAGTAGATATATGATGGAGGGAGTCCCCTTGACCAATCCACTCAGCCAATATCCAATCATTTGGAAGTCGACGAGGGTTTTTGCAACTTGATCTGACAACAGGAATTTAGGATCCATGTACTTATGACATTTGTGGATAACAATAAGTACTTTAGGTGAACTTGGTGGGGCAGCTTGGAGATGGATGAAAGCATATTTTATGAGTAAAAAGTTTTTTCTATGAAGTTGGTCGTTAGTAACAAAAACGTAATTATCCTCGTCATGACGAAAGCGAATCCGAAGGTTTTTTTCCTGGTGTCTAATAAGCTTCGTAAAACCATCTAAACTTGACCTCAAGACTCGTGTTAGCAGGGAAATCAAGCCTAACCGTTTTGCAATGGTTGTTGTTGCTCTCGTTGTTTCTTGCAGCAAGCCTCCTTTGAAATCCTCTTTCTTTTTTCAAAGCTCCCTTACTTCTAAAACGTACGAATTCGCCTTCACCATCATTTACTTCGTTCACATCCATAGGTCACTTTTAGTTCAGCTGCTTGAGATTGAAGAGTTAGTCTGTTACTTTTGGGTCAGCGAAACCGCCTTTATTCCATAAGAGAGAAGGGACAAGGAAGGAATATTCACCTCGCTAGACACAGACAATATGGGTGTAGTGGCCTGAGGGTCGCAGTGCGATTTTCAAGGTCATTCACTGGGCCCACAGTCGTCTCGAGAGTTACCAACACTGTACTACTTGTTAATTACTCCAAACCCGCAGCACTTAACACATCTAGCACACGTGTCTTGGAATGACAGACAAATTTTCACTGCATAAGAACTATTATTTATCCTGGTGAGTAATTTACACATATGTTACTATACAGAGAAAGATCGCAGTCAGCAGGGTTCGATCCCACTACAGAGAGGTTAGCAAGGTTCCCAAAGTGACGCTCTAGATACCTCGGTCACAGATGCCTCATAAGCTGGGCAGCCTGGTTTACAAGCCATGTTTCTTCCCAGCCTGGGCACATCAGTGGACCTCAATTATGGTTTCAAGGTATTTCAGTCTCCTGTATGTTCTGACATTACAAGCGATTTTTATATCATGCAGAAACAAGTAGGTATATACAGAAAAAAATCACAGTCACCAGGATTCGATCCCACTACAGGTCACTACGTATGTGGAATTTTTTTTATATTCCTAAATTCAGGATGCGTAAATGTGAATAACATAATTTCGTAGGTTAGATTAGGTAAGGTTCGTCAGGAAACAGGACAAGTGTTTCCTGACGCGGGTCTTAGATGATGACCTGCCGTTGGAGCTTTTGGTCATCTGATCGAGGCCTTCCACTGGCTTACCCCTCCACCCCTTTAAAAATTATGGTCATTTATAACCATTGTTATTATATAATTTCGTATTAAAATGTGATGCTGAGTTGACCCTTCAATAAATTTTGTGTGAAGGAGGGTGTGCAGCGGCCGCAGAGTGATACAGGGAAGATAATGCCATAGTATAAATGTGAGCACTGGACTGTTCATAGTGAAATTTAATCCAGTGTCATCGAGGTCATAATTGGGTATTTCGGCCCGAATTTGTAATAGGAACCCGTGTTAATGTCCCCGGCTGAAGAATTGGGACAGGAAATTTGCGGGACCTCCATAATTGCTTGTGGATGGTGGAAAATAAGGTGACTATGCTATCACTCAATATATGATAATTGCACTTGTGTTCCTGTACCTAAATAAACTTACTTGCTCACTTTACCTACTTCATTTTACTCAAGTACATAATACAACAAGTATTAATACAAGTACATAATACAACTTATACAGACCATAGCTAACATCAGTGACATACTACTAATAATAGAAAGACCCTTGTTATGCAGAGCATTTCGGGAAAATTAAGTTAGTTTTATCCCAGGATGCGACCCACACCAGTCCACTAACACCCCATTATCTATTGTACTGATAAGTGAACATGGACAGCAGTTGTCTTATGGAAACATGTCCCTAATGTTTTCACCCGTACCGGGGATCGAACTGTGGACCTCAGTGTGTGAGCTGAGTGCACTACCAACAGTTCTACAGGACACGGGACACCTACTTATTACCTGGAGAGAGTTCCTACTTACTTTTCTACTGTACTTTACTTACTATTCCTGCTTTACTTACTATATTTTAACACTTATTTTACTATACTTACTTTACCTACTTTACTTACTATATTTACTTTACCTATTTTATTTACTATACCTAGTTTACCTACCATACTTACTTTACTATACTTTGTCTACTTTACTTACCACACTTTACCTACTTTATTTACTATATTTTACTTTACTTACTATATTTACTTTATCTACTTATTATATTTACTACTTTGGCTTAGATAAGGAGGTGTTAATAAAGGTTGAGCGGTGGTGGCCCTTAACACCTCCTGCACCACCCAGGCAACATGGCCGCCACAACTGCAAAATCCGTCGGTTTTTTGGGTAAATAGTCAATTATCCTTAACTCCAAAATGCATTACTAAAATTGATGATGGTCTGCGATTATTAATGCTACTTTAACCTGTTTTTTATTGTGTAAATGGAGCTGAAATTGCCTTGATTATTACGACATATTGATGCCGGCGAGGGGCTCTTGATCCAAGGATTTGGACCAGTTCTGCCTTTCCTGGGGTCGAATCTGATTGTGTCTCATACGGGTTTAGCGCTCTCGTGAATACAGTAGTGTTAAATTACTGTGAGGGAGCGCTGAACCCACAGGGGTCATTCAGCTCCCGAGGGAATGGGAGACAGTCAGGTTCGATCCAAGGGGGAGGAAAAATCCAATTCCTCAGATCAAGAGCCTCGCACCAGCACCAAGGAACCACCTTACAGGGAATTAGAGGTTAAGCTTGAAAATATCAATTAAATTTTCTTATTACTCTTCATTTTAATGCTGCGTGACTTGCAGGTTTAGCGCTTAACTTTATTATTATAATTATTCTGTTTTAATATTCTTAATAATTGTGTCACCTACCCTATTATTATGCTAATAATTATTCTTCGTTTTAATGATATTTCTTTCAACCATCCCAGTTATAATTATTATAATTATTTTTCATTTTAATGTTTCAACATCTCAGTTATTATTATAATTATTGTTTATTTTAATATTCTTACTGTTTCAACAGCCCAGCTTACCAACGCACTCAAAAGATACACATTTAAGGCTTCAGGCTTCAATCAGCTTGGTAAGATATATAAGCTTTTGTTTGGATTATTAACCTGGAAGGTTAGTAATGCAGGATAATTTACTACTTGTAAAGTACAAGAACACAAGTGCAACTAATGTGACATTTTTATCGTGGCAACGTTTCGCTCTCCAGGAGCTTTGTCAAGTCGTTACGGCTTGATAAACCTCCTGGAGAGTGAAACGTTGCCACAATAAAAATGTCACATTCGTTGCACTTGTGTCCTTTTACTTCACATATTGTCGGTAATTCTACGAATATTATTACAATTTACTAGTTCATGAAATTGCAAGATTTTTACCATTATCTCTCTTAATCTTATTTTATCTTAATGTATACTGTATAGTACTGTACTGTCTTTATCATTGTTAATGTATATACTATGATCATTATTATGTTAATCAGTATACTACTGTCATTGTCTTTGTTAATATATATACTATAACCATTATTATGTTCATGAATATACTGCTATTGTTGTCTTTGTTAATGTATATACTATGACCGTTATTGTGTTAATATACTGCTATTGTTGTCTTCGTTATGAATTTGTTAATGAATATACTATGACCATTATCCTGTTAATGAATATACTTTGTCTTTATTGATGAATATACTCTTTTTATCATGTTAATGAATATTGTATCATTCTTTGGTAATGAATATGCTACTATATTGTCATTGTTAATGAATATACTATGATCATTATCATGTTAAAGAATATAGTATCATTGTCTTTGATAATGAATGTACTATTACCATTATCTAGTACTGCAGTAGAAATTGAAGTAAATAAAATCAAATACCTTATATATTGTACCCTGGAGTGGCTGGGTTTATGAAATGGGATTCAGGCAAACCTGTTAAGATATGTTTGGATTTTTTAAATCACCATTTTTTCAAATTTCACACACACTGAAATGAAATGCATACAAAATTACGTAAATGACAGAACGTGTGAAACTAGCTGCCCAAACTGGACAACAGGTTCCTATGAGTGAGGCATTTTCCATGATTTGCTGAACTCTTCCTTGGGTTAGCCACCCTGGATAACCCAAGACTGTCTTTCGATTGGAGTCCTTCAGTCTCGTTTCCCAGGATGCCACCCACACAAGTCGGCTAACGCCCAGGTACCTAATTACTGCTAGGTGTACAGGGTCAGCAGGTGTAAGGAATTGTCCCCAGTGTTTCCAACCATGCTGGGGATTGAACCATGGTCACTCAGTGTATGAGGTGAGAACGTTGCCAACCAAGCCACGGGTAATAAGATAGTGATGTCAGCACACTTCTGGAAAGATGGCGCTTGAATGAACGATAGTGAGTGTCACCTGCTTTGGTAGTAGACAGATGTTTAGTTAAAAAAATATTTTTATCACCCCAGTACATTTTTGTTATGAAAGCTAGCACTTTTAATATACACTATAACATCAGTGCTAATACTATGTTTTAAATAGTACTGCCTAGCTAGAAAGTTTTAAATGTATAATTGTTCTCCAAACTGAGCATTTAATTTACTCTAAATTGTTAAAATATTTGTCCTTCAGAAGGATATTACTGTCAACAGACATACATTATTTAATTTGAAGAAAAAAAGACAGATGCAAAGAGAAACTTTACTGCCACTACTACTAACTTGATTCTACTACTTCCTTCATCTTCCCATCCCTGCCCCCCCCCCCTCTTCCCCTCTCGTCTATATACTTGCTCCCTTCCCTTCGTGCTTTTGTGTGAATAGTTAATGGTCCATGTCAGACTGAAACAGTCATAAGTTTCTTTCTGCTGTGTGCAGGTTGTGTAGAAACTTAACTGAGATGTTTCACGTGTGGAACAGGCTTCTTAATCATTGACTGAGGAAGCTTCTACAAACAAAATCTCATTAAAGTTCCTCTCTGCAATTGTTTCCTTCTTCAGTTTGTCACCTTTGTGCCATAATTTAAATTAATTTTCATAGGATTGTACCACGATGACTGCTTACGTGAAACACCAGATGTAGCGGAAGCCTTGCGACGTTTGCCACAAAGTGTGATAGATGAACGTCACTACAGAATGCAACTTGCATTTCAGCTTTCAGTGACAAAAAGCATCCTACCCAAGGAGCAATGGATTAGTTATGAAGAGGTTGGTGTTCAGTGTTTCATCTTAAATTGGAGAACTGTTACAGCATACAGCCTTTTCCCACTTAATGATGGAGTTCCGTTCCTAAGACTCCGTTGGTAAACAAATTCGTCGCTAAGTGAGGAACATACTATAATGGTAGTGGGTTTGTGTTAATCATCTTTGATATTGTTTTAGTGTCACCTTTGCACCATTTATAACATTTCTGGGATATTTTTAAATGTTTATGCAGTAGTGTACTGTATACATGTATTTGAATAAACAGAGTAGAGGAAATGAAGTCTAATATACATTTAAGTATGCATAGTGGTCAGAGAGCCCATCGTAAGTCTGGGTCATCGGTAAACGAGTACGTTGTTAAGTGAGGAGAGGCTGTATTGTTATCCACTTCTGTCATAACTATTTGTTAATTTTTTGTCAAAATTTGTTAATTAAGTTCAAACTTTTTTTTCTTTTTTTTTTGAGACAAGGTATTTGATTATTTGAAATAGGATGTTACAGTATCATGGCTGGAAAAATTCACCAAAAGCCTTATGATGTTTTGATCATTCCTGGACTAAAGTCACAATGGCCCAGAACAAACAAATAGAGCCCTTAGTGAGTAAAACGTATAAAAACTCTTTCTACAAGTACCTTTATAACCCCATTTCTTGGCTTACAGCTATATATCCACAGCACTTAATGTAACAATAAGGCTAACCATTCAAAATAGTCTTCTCTCCTTGCCATCTTTGAGGCCATTTTTATAAAATGGCCTCAAAGAAACAAAAAGTTTTTGGAACCTTCACAGCAGCCCATGCCAGGGATTTCATGGATAGTGAGATCTATATACCAATCTATTACATAGGGAGTAGGTCTGCATGAGAAAAGTTAACTTCGCTCCATAGATATGTTAAAATTATCAAATGATAGTTGAAATATAGAGGAAAAACCTGTTAATTATCCTCAAACTACTAGGTGCTCTCTTAACTATCATACATAGTGATTTAGTGAATGTTTTACAATATATTTTTCCACCTAACAATAAACCAGGTAGATGTAAGGACTGAATGGCTTATTTAAAAATGTATAAGATGATGGATATCTGATAACCAGCTTTTTTTTTTTCTAATTTAACCACTTCACTGTCCAGTCCCTGAAATTAAAAATGCTCAGTGTCCATATTTAAAAAACAATTCTGATGGGAATGAGACCAAAAATACAAAATGTGGTGAAAAAAAACATAAGGCATTAGCAAGGTGCGAAATTAGTGGTCTGGGTGTAATTTACGCAGCAGCATATTTTGCCAGCAGTCCAAGGCTCAGTCGGACCAAATTATTAGCTATTACAGTGGACCCTCGACCAACAATATTAATCCGTTCCTGAGGGCTCGTCGTTAGTCAAAATTATCGTTAGTCGAGTTAATTTTCCACATAAATAATGGAAATCAAATTAATCCGTGCAAGACACCCAAAAGTATGAAAAAAAAAATTTTACCACATGAAATATTAAGTTTAATGCAATAGAATAATTAAAATAACAACAATAACAATAGATTAATAACAATAGAATAATTGACACTTACCTTTAATGAAGATCTGGTGATGATTGATGGAATGGGAGGAGGGAAGAGTGTGGATGGTGTTAGTGTTTAGAAGGGGAATCCCCTTCCATTAGGGCTTGAGGTGTCAAGTTGAAGACATTGTTTTTCCTGAACACTGGGAGTTTCAGAGTGATACACCAATCAAGGCTTCACTTTGCAATCACCACTAGCATTAGCACACATCACCACTAGTTGCAGGCATTTTTTTAATTAAATCGTCATGCAACTTCGTACCCTTTTCACATATGATCGCTTGAGAGATGCTATCTCCTATTTGCTTTTTGTTTATCCACACCAATAACAGTCTCTCAACATCTTCTATCACTTGCGATCTCAGTTTCGAAAACATAGTTGTACCTTTGGCAAAAACAGCTTCCTTGATTGCCGTTTTCTTGCCCACAATAGTAGCGATGGTTGATTGGGGTTTTGTGTACAACTTGGCCAGCTCGGAGACACGCACTCCACTTTCATACTTAGCAATGATCTCTTTCTTCATATCCATAGTAATTCTCACCCTTTTTGCTGTAGGGTTGGCACTAGAAGCTTTCTTGGGGCCCATGGTGACTTATTTTGCAGGTGCAATCACTACAAACGCTGTGATAATGTGAAATGTTCCAATTGTATGTTTGGATGGGACCGCGGTGGCTGGCTGGCTGGCTTGTAAACACTGGCCACAAGTGGACGCGTCTCGGACAGAGCGAATCGCGTTGGTCGAGTTTTTTAGCGCTAGTCGTGGCAAAATTTATGCGTTAAAATGTATCGTTAGTCAGATTTAACGTTAGACGATGCCAGCGTTGGTCGAGGGTTCACTGTATACAAGTACAGTATACCTCACGTTCTATTCATTGAATATGAAATTGCCCAGTCAACTTTGAAAACTACCCTATAAAGTGCACCTAAGTTGGTAATTTTGGCCAATTTTTTTCAAAAATTAAAAAAAAAAAATATTCAAAAAGTCCAAAATAAACACCAGATATTCTAGGCGCTAAAATATTTCTGCTGTTCATTAATCACATCCCTAGGCCTTCCATTTCGAATTCATCAGCACAAAAGAGTCTAGGATTTATGCTATTTCTCGGATAATAAAACATAACCAGGAATGATTGATTGTGGTTTATGGCACCCCAATTAAATTAGGCCTAGTAAATTCCCATAAAACAGAACATTGGGCCTTCCTTGTTCTCAGGAAAATTGGCTGAAATCAAATATTTCCACTATGATGTCAATTTCAAGCTATTTCCAGCCCTGGAACTAAGCAAAATCACCTCTGCTTCAATAGTATGTCTTCCAGTCTATCAAATGATACCAAGAAGCAGCTAAGAAAACCATAAAACATCTTAGAAAACACCTCAGAGTTTCTGTTTTAAATCAAATGCAAGGCCAGTTTTGCTTTTTTTCCATCATGCACCAAGTGAGAAAGGATTTTTTTTTCTTCACTGTTCATACTTGCTGCACAGACCCATTCATTTATTTCTCACACCTTATCAGAGTGAGCTGAGAACATGGCATTACCTGGAGTTTACCTGGAGAGGGTTTCAGGGGTCAACGCCCCTGCGGCCCGGTCTGAGACCAGGCCTCATGGCATAGATCTATGTGACAAACCCTGGCATCAATAACGTAGATCTACGTGACAGACAGTGATAGGGTTATTAGACCATTGTATTGTGAATATTTTCACTCCTTGTATCAGTAGATTTTATGCAAAAACAAAAAAAAAATTAAACAACAGCTTTAGGAAAACTACAATCAGTATTTTTTGTCATCAGCTATTATTAACAGATTTTTTCTCTCGACATTATATTAAACCGGTAATAACCTGAAAGTATAAATGAGGAAAATGATTTAACTTATGTAAGTTGGTGTCAGAGGTGCTGGGCAAATTGACAACCTGAAATCTATTTAATCTAGGATCGTGAGAAGGGACGCTACCTGCAGCCGTACCTTGCAGAGGTGATCAAGGAGAGGAAGGAACGTGAGGCATGGAACAAGAAGTGACCATTTTGTTCTCATTTGAATACTATTATGACCCATTTATCCACTTCATGTTCAATTATTCAGACTTTTTGCTGTTGTAAATGTTTGCATATGAAGTACGTACTTACATGAAGTGATAGTGAATCTTGTACAAAATGTAAATTATTTTGTGATCCACAGTGGAATATATTGAATGCAGTTAAATATAATAAAGAAATGTACATGACTGATTGCTTTATTCACATTTATCCTAATATGGTGTACATGTTATCCAACTACTTGTTTTGTCTACATTAACAGGAATTCTGTAGCTTGTGGAAAGTACATCTGTTTCATCGGAAGAGCTTTACCAGTTGTATATTTAAAACAGATTAATACTTGACGTGCTGTTGGAGTGTGAGCAAAGTAACATTTATGAAGGGGTTCAGGGAAACCGGCAGGCCGGACTTGAGTCCTGGAGATGGGAAGTACAGTGCCTGCACTCTGAAGGAGGGGTGTTAATGTTGCAGTTTAAAAACTGTAGTGTAAAGCACCCTTCTGGCAAGACAGTGATGGAGTGAATGATGGTGAAAGTTTTTCTTTTTCGGGCCACCCTGCCTTGGTGGGAATCGGCCAGTGTGATAATAATAATAATAATAAAAATACTGCTTTGGCATGCAGCCCGGCTCTGTCAAATTAATTTTTAGGGAATCCACACGCCTGTACCCGTATATAAACATGCTCTACAAGTAGATGTACAAGGCATACAGGCCTAGCTGACATCAGTGACAATACTATACAGAAGCCCCTTGTTATGCATAGCATTTCAGGCAAATTAGGTCAATTTTGTCACCAGGCTGTAACCGACACCAGTTGGCTAACACTCGGATACATGTTTACTGATAGGTGAACAGGGACAGCAGGTGTCTTAAACACTTCCTAATATTTCCACTCGTACTGGTGATCAAACTACAGACCTCAGTGTGTGGGCTGATTGCAATAGATCGTAGGTTTACCACTTCTTTTGATTAATAATAATGAGTGTGCCAGTAATTGAGCTACAGGGCAGCTATACTATGGGACACCTTTTACAGTAACACACTTCCTCAGCCTTTCAGCATGTTGCATCGAGTATAATAATGATTCCTCTGCCATAAGAACCTTACGGGTTTAGTGGTTTTCCTCTGAATATAATTAAAATGCTTCTTCCCATTGCTCGTACTCCTTCCCTGAGTTCAGATTCACTGAAATATTTCTTAAATCAACTATGACTTCCTCCTTTCTCTTACCCATTGTTAATTGACGGATGGGTTTATTGCTCTATATATGCAGTACTGTATATTATATAATTTTTCAGGCCAAGTAATAACTTAATTTTTAAAGGGATGCACTGATGCCAGTATGGGGCTCTTGATGAAGTATGGAACCTGTTCTTCCCTTGGATTGAACATGATTCCCTCCTATTCCCCAAATGCTGTATGATTTAATAATTTAGTACTTTACCATGATAATACATATTGGTTGTTGGCTACTATGACCCATAAGAGATCATAAAATTCTTGGGAAATAGAAACTCAGATTTGGTCTAAGCAAGGATAGAATGGCTCCAAATTCTGGATCAAGCCTTTCAGCATCATTTTATCTTGCATGGCTTAGTTGACTGTTACATCCCTACTTGCGCTGGTATCTGTCAGAATGTTTTAAAGGGCTTGAAAAATTGAAGGAAGTGATGATCATCTTTGGAAGTCAATATTTATCGACAAATTCTTAACATGTAAAAATGAACTGGACATTACTAACCATAAAACCCTCATAGGTTTAGTTCTTCCTCATGAATATAATTTGAGCAACACATTTCATTGCTGTGACTCGTGCTAGGTTAATGCATGTTTTTTTCACTATTATCAGATAGTGTCATATAAAGAAATAGCCTCACTGGTGTTAACATCTTTGGGCTAACCCACCCTAACCCATGTACAGAAATCCTCCAAACTTTTTTCAGATTAGTGAGCACTACAAAGGAATTTAAAACCACAAATAACTTTTATGAATCTAATACACATTCACTGCCAAGTTAGACAATGACGACACTTCCCTGCGCCATGGAAAACTGCATGGAAGTTTAATTTTTTCTCCTCCGTCCCAAGCTTTGTCCTGAAACTGAAAATAATATGTACAGTGATACCTCTCATATTCGAACTATACAGGCTGAGACCAGTTCGGAAATGCAGAGTTTCTGGATGTGTGAGGGGGAAAAAAATTTGCATCAGTATTGTCATATTGCCATCGGCAACAGTGTTGTAGGTTTAAAAAACGAGTCCGTCGTCTGGCAGTGGGACCAGACACTCTGGGTTCAAATAACAGCCTCCCAGATTTCTGCAGCCATTTTAAGTTTGGCACCACGAACCATCATACCACTACCACATTGTTGCAGGTACCACTTCATCATGCACTCGAGTTCCAAGCTCTGTGGCTTCGCCATCGCTTTTCTTTCGGCACTTTTTCCAGTTTTTGAGGCAGCAGAAAATATCTGAATGGCTGTTCTGGTGTTTTGGCAATAATTTTAGAATTTTGCCCTTTCCCAGGGCCTGTTCAGATACTGGCGAGGTTTGGAAAGTATCAGGCCGGATATGCGAGCTATCACTGTACAATGATAGTTGGTACTACATCTACCATTTACTTGCATTGATTCTTATATTTCCCATTAGTAAGTATAGACCAGTGATTGATGGTAAGAGAGCTTATGGCCCTACCACAATGGTATTGCACTGTTCTTACTTTGATCACCCAACAAAATTTTGCACATCCCAGACAGTCCCGCATCTGTATGGCCATGAACAGCACTCTATGACCCTTATGAGTTTAGTGCTTAGTTATGATTATAATAATAATGTAACGACATGAGCCATAATGACCTTAATTGCAGTCATTAAAAAATCAATGCAGTTGTGATCAGGTGTAGACATGTGAATGGTTAGTTATCTTTGTAACTAGTTCAGCTATCAAAACTTTGTGGCCCAGTCCCTGGACCCATTATGTACCTCTTAATCTTTTTGACTACTGCCCACAGGATGAGTATGGGGTGCATAATAAATATATTAAACTAAGTGGGGGTAGACCAAGGCCTTCTTTATAGATTCTATATGGCTATGGCTCACAGCAAGCTGCTGTATAATCCTCCGGGTTTAGCACTTCCCCCTTGATTATAATAATAATAAATCACAGCAAGCTCACCTATGCGAGTGAGGTATGTGGCTCGGCCTCTCCCTACTCTTTTTTGCTGCCTAGACATTCTCCAGAATTCAGTCCTCTGCAGTATGTTAGGGGTATTTCCCTCCACCCCTATCACAGCCTTGGAAACAGAGTCTGGGATAGTGTCCCCTCTCATCAGTAAGAATGGTGATGGATGAACGAACAACTGAGTGAGAGTCTAGGTATGACCCTTGTGGGGGAAGTGGGAACAGCACTGGAGAGAAGTGTCTTCAGTTGAAGAGAAAATACCAGGGCTAAACCCAGCAACTAAGCACTCGGGCAAGCAGGTCTTCATTGGGGTCTTGATTAGCAAGGCAGCAGGTGTTGATTGTACTGATAATTTAAGGTGGGTTGACTGAAGAACCATTTTCAAGCTAATTTAAGCTTCTAGAGAGGTGATACAGTTGTGTTTTGTGTCCAAAGGTGTATATGTATGGTTTGACGAATTCCAGTATTTGTGTAAGCATAAAGAGATGTGATGGCTCACAGGAAAACCTTGACAGTCCTAGCTGTATAGCCCTTGTGGCTTAGCACTTCTTTTTGATTATAATAATAATTGACAGTCCTAGCACCGAGTCCTTTATACAGTTCCAAGCCAGCCATGGTATCGCAGTTGGATGGAGATGAGTAGAATAGATTGTCTCGTGTTGGTGTAATGGTGTGGGTGTCCTCTTCATCCTCTTTCTCGGAAGAGGATTCAGTAGGTAGGTTTTCATTGGTACTAGCAGGTGGCTATGATTCGTCAGGAGTAGTGGTAAGATGTGTTGATAGTTTGATAGCTGGCTAATAGACTTGAGAGGTGATGGTTAAGTCAGTAGAAACGTTGTTAAAATTAACATAAGAAAGGAGGAACACTGCAGCAGGCCTGTTGGCCCATCCCACTTACAATATTTGCCCAACCCAATTTTCAGTGCTACCCTAGCAATAAGCTTTGATAATTCTATTTACTCATGTGCAAGTCCCACTCAAATCCAAGCCCTCTCACTCATGTATTTATCCAACCTAAATTTGAAACTACCCAAGGTCTTAGCCTCAATAACCCTACTAGGCAGACTGTTCCCCCTCATCAAATACTGTATTTCCAAACCAATACTTTCCTATATCCTTTCTATTCTAAATGTAAACTTGTCCAATTTGAATCCATTATTGCACGTTCTCTCTTGGAGAGATATCCTAAAGAGCTTATTTATATCCCTTTAGTTAATACCTGTTATACTCCAATATAGAAACTATGTATTGTGCCAAAACAAAAGCATTCACATTGTTAAACTCACAAACTAATATTTAGTCACTTAGTATTTAGTCAACTTACTCCACAATTTGTAATAATTTAGGGTTAAGAATTAATCAAAGTTTGCCCGAAATGCTCAGCCTTGTTTGGTGTTCTAGTGGCCCCCTCTGTAATTAGTATTTTGTTACATGTAAACCACACAATAACCAAAATCTGTAAACCCCGCATTGTAATCCTTATAGAGAATAAACTTTGATTTGGTTTGATTTGATTTGATTTGATCTTCCACTTATACACTAAGATCATATCTCCCCTCATTCTTGTTGTTGGTAGAAGTCCTGTCTGCACTTGGAGATGGTTCAGGAACAGTGTCTTGGCCAGAGGAGTGTGACAAGTATGCAGGTGTGGTGAAGTTAACAATATTTAATATTTAATTCTTGTGAAGCGCTAAACCCATGTGGGTCATTCAGCGCAAGACGTGGTGGTGGAGGCTCGACCCTCCGTCTGCTGAGCGCGTGGTAGACACGCTTCCTATTTGTACTCACCTAGATGGTCGGTGAAGTTAACAACGCTGGGGGATAATCTTAAGGATATCGGCCAAAGGTGTAGTGTTAGTGAAATTGAAAGGACATGTTTAGACGGAAGAGTTCATTGACTGTGGTATTAAGAGTACCAAGGTTTGCTGCATTAACAAGGTGTGCCTGCACGATGCAGTACAGCACATTGGAAGGAGCACCGTCAGGGAGTGCTGAGGAGTTGCTGGATGAAGGTGTTTATGTGGCTTGGAGAATATTGGTGGTGTCAGATTGTAGTTTGGTAATGGCAGCATAAGTCCTCTTGGATTTTCATAGAGATGATTTCCTTCCTTAATGGGCATTTTCCCGCAAGAGTATAATGATTATTCTAGCGAACAAGGCATGTTGCAGCAATGGTAGTGGTGGAGGATCTGAAGTTGTGTCCTTCGTCTCCACAGTTTAAACAGACTTCCTGTCCTTGGTGGGGCAGTCATTGGCAGCATGCTTGTAGGAATAGCAGGTCCAGCAGGGAGAGATGTGTTTGTAGCATTTAGGTTCGATGTAGCTTGGGTGGATGTAAGAGATGGCCAGTCTGTCAGAAAGAGCTTGGGCAGCCATAGTGATGTCAAAAGGTGATCTTGATCATGGAGGAGATGGGAATCTTGGTAATGGTGTCTACCGAGGCCCAGGCATTCTGTTCTTTGATGGAAGCCTTCAGTTCTTCATTGGAGAAGGCCATGACGATCTTGTCAAGCCAATTCACGAGAACGGAACATTTCACCTTCAGAAATGGAGAAAATAGAGATAGTGAAACCACGATCTTTTAAAATCTTGACAGTGGTAGTAATAATTTTTTGGGGTTATTCACCACTGGTGTAGACGACTATGAAGGCCTTGAAAGAGGAGAACTTGATTTTCAGGCTGCTTTTAAGGGCAGCTGCAAGAGCAAGCTTGGAGGCATCGTTTACCATAGCACTGGTAGGTTTGATCTTCATATGACGTGCCAGCATCATGGAAGGGTAGAGGTGATGTCTGTAGAATAAAATTTTCCCTCCCCAGCGGGGATCGAAGGGAGACTTCGTGAGAGGGAGCAGCTGTTAGCTGCCTGTGGCGAGGTTGCGGTACAACTCCATCGTATGGCCTCTTTGCCTCTCCACAGGTGTGGGTGGTAGCCTCTGTTTTCCCATGTTTGGTTCAGCCTTCCTTTATGGCCAGGGCCAGACGTTCCCTGACCTACCTCACTCCCTGTGCCGGTGCTGACCCCCTTTCCTCTCCACTCCCTAGTCAACCTTTTGGATTTACCTGGAAAGGAACATCCACCTGGATTAGCCATGCAGGAACAGGGAGACTCCTCGGATGGCAGCCTTTCTCTTTGAAGAGTTTCATACTGTCACGTATGGCTCTTCATTCTCTACCTACATGGACGGTTCATCACGAACTTCCCCTCCAACGTCCACAGCTGCTTTCATCGCTGATCTTTCTCTGTGTCAAACTTGGCATTGAGACCCCTCTCAGTTAGTCCTTGGATAGAAGCTCTTTGTCATTCACCAGGCTTTGATTTTCGCCCTTTCTCACCTTCCTCCTCAGCCTGTGGTTCTCTTCTCTGATTCCCAATGTCTTCTGCCTGTCGTGGTCCCTCCATTTCTTTGTCCGACAGCTTCAGTTTCACTTCTTGTGAAGTCCAGGTTGGAGCATCTTCCTTCAGTGGATATCAGCTCATGATGGCATTCGGGGCAATGAAGTGACTGATCGAGCAGCCTCCCATGTTCACACTCCCTACCATTACCTCCCTTGCACTGGGCCCCAGTGATTTCACCAAAGGTGTTTGGAGGAAAATCCGCCATTTATGGCAGGAGGATCTGGCACACTCCCTTCTTCAGCACTGAGCTCAGTCCGATCTTTCAATGGCCCTTGCCCATGGGCTTGTCATCTCAATCGTTCAGTGGATGTTGCACTCACCTCTGAGATGGGGATTCATGGCTGGCAACTTGCCTGCACTGCCTTCAGACGCCCATGGCGTCCCTCTCAGCCTGAGACGGTGGAGCACATCCTACTGTGGTGCCCCCATTACCATTCTGCATGGACTTTTCCTCCGTGCGGCCTTGAGCACATTTAGGGTGCAGTCTTGTACCCTACCTCTCTTGTTTCAATGGGGAGGAGTTTGACCCTCCAGAACGTCAGGAGATCCTGGATTGTGCCTGCGCCTTCTTGCTGGCCTCAGAGCATACTGGAAATATAATAAGTTAGGTGTCCCATGGCCTGGTAGGCAATGCTCTCGCTTCACACACTGTGTCCATAATTCGATCGACGGCCGGGGGGAAACATTAGGCATGTTTCCTTATACCTGCTGTCCCTGTCCACCTAGCAGTAAGTAGGTTCTTGGGTGTTAGTTGACTGGTGTGGGTCGCATCCTGGGGAACAAGATTGAAGGCCCACAATGGAAATATTATTATTATTATTATAATCAAAGGGGAAGCGCTAAACCCGGAGGATTATACAGCGCCTGGGGGGGGATGTGGAAGGCATTCAGGCTTAATTCGGGGAACTGGAGCACAGATCCAATTCCCTAAATCAAGAGCCCCTCACCAACATCAAGGAACCTTCCTTGAAGGGAAAATGGAAATAAGAAAATCCCTCAATGACGCACTGACTTTCTTGGTTATCCTGGGTGACTAACCCTCTGAATTAAAAGTCCAATCAAAATTTTAATTTCCTTCCCCCCATCAAGGGGGGAAGGAATGGTGAGGGGCTCTAGGACATTGGATCCGTGATTCAATTCCCTGAATTAAGCCTCAATTCCTTCCATCCTCCCCACCACAGGCCCTGTATAATCCCTAAGAGTTTAGCGCTCCCCATAATAATAATAATATCTTCCACTGTGGTCGAGGTTTCTTTTCCGGACACTGGAAGGCTCGATACGGCGCACACTGCCAGTGGCCCTATAAACCCTCAACAACAACAAGATGGACTGGCACTGAATATTTTATCATATTTTACACCTTCATTCCTGAAATAAAACTAAATATAACATCTAGAAGTGTTGTTAAATAGTGAGATGTTACTAAGAAGTGTCTTCCATCAGTGTTACTCAGCCAGGAACAAGATAAATGGCTCATATTGGTCAACACTTAACGTCTTGTGTCCAGCCAGGTTGAATCCACCTTCCAACTTTTATAATAATAAAGTATACATAAGTAAGTTTATTGAGGTTCAGGTATACATAAGTACAGTTATCATACATAGTATAAATTATCAAGGATAACACAAAAAGTGAAGAGTGACTACTACCATTGGGGTCCTTGACTTATTTCCTGGGCCCTGGTGGTCGCTGAGGGGCTCTTGATCCAAGGAAATGGATCTGGAAGTGAATTAAGTAAAGTAACGTAAAGTATAGTAAACTTCGTTTAGGTACAGGTATGCAAATAGTTAAATTATTATTGTATGACCCTTACGGGTTTAGCACTTAGTTATGATTATAATAATAATACACAAATTATCATACATAGTAACATAAGTGTAAATTAACTATGATAACCCAGTACACAAACCAGTTCATATTGGAGAACTTATATATTGAACTCGTAAACTAAATATTAGCCAATTATTTTAATACGTATATGAAAAGTCAAAGTGACTTTATGCTGGTGAAGGGCTTTTGATCCAAGAAATTGGAGCTGTCCTCTCCTTCCTTGAATTAACCTGATTTCCTCTCATTCTCAAGATGCTGTATTACACTTATGATTTAGCACTTCCCTTGGATCAACCTTGATTACCATCCCCCCTCCACCCCTTTCCCTAGTGCTAAATAACCCTTCCTCATTAATATACTTTATTTTCTGGCATATAAGGCGCACGACAAGTATCATAATGATAAATCAGTCATTATGTTCAAGGGATAATGACCTTGATACTTTATGCTAAAGCATAACCCTAAGCCTTGATCCTGACCTTGAGCATATAAGGTGCTTTGTGATTTTTCCCAAACTTTCTGTGGGAAAAAAGGTGCACTTATATGCTAAAAAAATAGGGTAATGATTATCATTTAAACTTGTTTTTTTCAGTAGTTCAAGTGAGGAACTCATCTTGCTGGTGTAGCACATCAGCTGCTGCTCCTATGTTAATACCATCTCTAAGAGCATTAAGCAGAAGATGTGTTTCATGGAGAAATGACTTGCTGCAGAATGTTCGATGTGATGTTGCTGTTGGGTTGCTGTCTTCATATTCAAAAGCTGAGTCACTTGGTACCAGGTATGCTTAAGGATAATAATGTCGGCAGAATTGTTGCCCCGGTGGGAGACAGCCGGTGTGTTGAAAAAATTAGGTAAAAGGACATGTGCAACTAATGTGATATTTTATTGAAGAACGAGACATTTGTGAAACTTTTGGGAATCTTGATTATGTAAATGTTTTGCCAGCCATTGGCTTCTTCAGTCCATTACAGAGAGGAATGGTGGCAGGTAAGGAGGAGTTTGAGGTAATCAGTCTCTGCTCATCTTAACACCTTTCTCCTCTGTAATGAACTGAAGAAGCCACTGGTTAGCAAAACATCTCTCTAATGAAGATAACCAAATGTTTCTCAAGTGTCATAATTTGTTATGGTAAATATTTCCTTGGATACCTCGTAGTGCAGTGGTAATGCTTTTGGCTCTCAGCCAAAAGCAATTGGAATCAGATCCTGGGCGAGGCAAGACGTGTACGCATGGAAACTCGAGAGATTAATTGACCTGCATATTTCGATCCCCTTCTGGGATCCTCTTCAGATGAGGATCCCAGAAGGGGGTTGAAATATGTAGATCAAGTAATCTCCTGAGTTTCAGTCTCAGTATGGGTTATTATTGAGCATTGACAAATGTTCATTACACTTTAGGCAAGTTTAACACTTGTTGCTCCTGTTACCTAGAAATAAATACCTAGGAGTTAGCCAACTGTTATGGGTGGTATCCTCAGGAAGGGCCATAAAAAGAGTCTAATCAAAATAGATCGCATTATTTCATTTTCATAAATTATTCTGTGGTATTAGGTCTCATGGGTTACTAATCTGAAGTCTTTTCTTCTATGTTTTCCAGTGCATTTACAATAAATGATGATTCATAAGAAAATTGCATTACAATTGTAAATTATCAGAAGTATCAATTAAAAGTATGATAATTGACTTATTTTAGCTGAAAAATTAATTGTTAGAAAATGCCTCCAACTCCAAGTATTGATTTTAACCCTTTGAGGGTCCAGGCTCCAAATCTGAAAATTCCCCACAGGGTCCAAGAATTTAAAAAAAAAAAAAATATTATTTTTTATTATGAAATGGTAGAGATTATTTTTCTGAAGCTAATATAACAAAAAGTACAAAATTTGATAAAAAAACTGACAAAATTACGCTCTTGTGAATTTTGCTGTGTCAGCAATATTTACGCATTGACGATTTTGTCCACTTTGAGTCCTATTTTCGGCCAATTGCATTGTTCCACTAGACCAAATTCTTAGCTATTTCGCTAGTATGTGTCCCATCAACTATTTCAACTACCCAGTAAAGTGATCAGAAATTGGTAATTTGGCTAATTTCACAAAAATTTCAAAATAATCCAATTTCAAAATAGGGTCCAGAATAAACAATGCAGGCATTCCTGGCACTAAATTAACATTTCTTAAGTTTATTAGTTACATTACACATGAATTCCATGTTGATTTTTTATTCACATAAAGAATTTTTATTCACGCCAAAAAATAGAAGATTTACTGTTATGCAATATTGTAATAATTGTATAAATAATATCAGTTCATTCATGAACACACACTAGACCTACCAGCTGATGTATATTGGATGCATGATGTGATGTGTTTATTCTTGAACATCGGCAAAAATTTAACATTTCTGCTATTTTGAGCTCAATTTCAAGCTATTTTGAGTACTAAAACCAATCAAAATCATCTCTATTTCTGTAATATATCTTCCAATCTGTCAAATGAAACCAAGAACTGCGAATATAACTGTAAAAACCATATGAAAATACACCGTAAAGTTGCTGTTTTAATCCAAAAACACGGTCGCAGTTTTTTTTCTCGTTATGGACTGCGTGCTGCAGGATTTGTTTTATATGGTGCACACTTTCCACATAGATACATTCTCTCATATCTAGGCCCAAATTTACCACTCACAGCTTATCTGAGGGAATTTAGCTCGTGACGTAGTATTATGGTTTGGACTCTGGCTTCAAAGCCGTAGAACTACAGGACGGACTCTTAGAGGGTTAATGGTTTTTCACTTGATTTTTGTTAACTGTACTCTATCTTATCTCTTTATTGGGCTAACTGCCCAATTAAAGTTAGTATAGAAGTATACCTATCTTGATAAAGCTTGGTGTCTAAGTAAAGTATTATCTGTTAATATAGTTTCCTTATTCCTTTTGTGTGTTTTACTTGCACTATTAATTTCACAATTTGCAGAGAAGATGCAGTAGTCAATAAAGAGTGTACATTTGAAGAGGAAGAATTAACCAATGATTCAAATGAGCAAGACTGGAAAGGGTTCAGTAAGACAGTAAGTAGTACTGCATTTTTCTTTATATATAAATAATCTCCCTAACATTATACAATGCTAACTGATTGTCCTCAGTGTTGTATCCTAAGCACTTTTAACATCTCATCTCAGATAGCCCTTGGTCTAAATTCTCCCTTACCAACTGTGGTACTAACCTGTCTTCTGTCACACTCTCTCAATATGAGCTTGAACTTCTTGGTTTTGGTCTTTACTTTGCCACTTCACCTACTCCTCACGCTGGTATTGCCCTGATTAGCTCTTTTGATTCTTTTCATAAGTCTCGCTCCCGTAATCTTCCTGACTTGTCCACCTTTCGTGGCACTCTCCTTCCTCCTCTTGATAGTCTGTTTTCAAAGAACCACCACCTTCCACACCGTTACCAACTTGCCCTTTCCTCTCTTAAATCCAATACCAACATTGTCATACTATCTTTTGACAAAGGTAATTCGGTAGTTATCCTTGATTGCGAGGATTACCTCCGTAAAGCTGATGTCTTGCTCTCTGACTCACGTACCTACACTCCTCTAGCTTCCAACCCTCTTGATCGCATTAAGAGAACTTTTAACAAGAAACTAAGGACTCTGTCTGACCTCTGTCCTCCTGACTTTGACTTTGTTCAACGTTTTTGTGTCATCTGTCCCTCTCTGCCCTATTTCTGTGGCCTTCCCAAAACCCATAAACCTGATATTCCCCTACGTCCTATCATATCCTCTAGAGGTTCTGTCTCTTATTCTCTTGCTTCTTGACTGGCCAAAACCCTCACTCCCTTTCTTGGTACTTTTTCTCCTGCCCACCTCCGTCACTCTCCAGACTTCATTGAATGGGTTCGCTCTCTCCCGACCTGTAAGATGTTTAGTCTTGACGTTGAGTCCCTCTTCACCAATGTCCCTCTTGATGATTCCTTGATTTTCTTAGAGAGAAGGCCAATGAAGGGTTTCTTCATCTCCCTATACCTACTGATGTCTTTCTTGATCTTATCCGCCCCTGTGTAGACTCTAATTCCTTTTCCTTCCAATGGAAATATTATTCTCAAACCTTTGGTGTCACTATGGGCTCTAATCTATCTCTCCTGTTCTTGCTAATCTTTACATGGAATACTTTGAGACTGTTCTTCTTCCTACTATCGATCTGCGCCCTTCACTCTGGCTCCGCTATGTTGATGACATCTTTGCTCTGTGGCCTCGTGACTCTTGTCTCTTCCAACCATATCTTGATGCTCTTAATAATCTTGCCCCTTCCATAAAGTTTAAAGCTGAATGGCAATCTAATTCCTTGCTTCCTTTTCTTGATGTTCATGTCCACCGCTCAGATACAGGTGTTGCCTTTTTCGTTTACTGCAAGGCTATGCACAGTGGCATGTACATTCACTACTTTTCTTATCATGCTTCCTCTGTCAAGAAAAGTGTTTATAATAATAATATAATAATATCTTTATTTACTACAAGTACATGTACATGGTATACAGACCTAGCTGACAACAATGACATACTACTATATAGAAAGCCCCTTGTTATGCTCCACATGTCGGGCAAATTAGGTCAGTGTCCCAGGATGCGACCCACACCAGTCGACTAACACCCAGGTACCCATTTTATTGATGGGGAACATAGACAACAAGTGGAAAGAAACACTCCCATTGTTTCTACTCTGGCTGGGAATCGAACCTAGGCCCTCGCCGTGTGAAGCGAGAGCGTTAGCCACCCTCTTTCTCTGTGCTCTCCGCATATGTGATCCTCAGTTCCTTCAGTCAGAAATTTCCACTCTTCATAATTCATTTTCCCGTCTTGGCTACCCTTCCCATTCCATAGACTGCCTTCTCACGTGCTAAACGTAATTTCTTCTCTCCCAAACTCTCTACTCCTGGGAACTCTCCTGTCCTTTGCCTTCCCTACATTTCCGGTCTTTCTAATCTCAACAACTCTCTCCGTTCCTTAGACATCAAACTTACTTTCCGCCAGACTAATACTCTTCGCACTAATCTTGTTCATACCTCTCCTTCCTCTACAGATGCTCCTGGTGTCTACTCTATTTCTTGTTCCTCCTGTCCTCTTCAGTAATTTGGAGAAACTGGTCGATCTCTTTCTGACAGACCTAGGGAGCACAAAAATAGTGTTAGGCTTGCCGACATTAACAATGCTCTTTTCTGTCACGTCAAAGATCACAGCCATCCTATTGACTGGTCTTCTGCTAAAACTGTCTTCCCTACTTCCAACTTTAACAGTCACCGTCTGGTTGAATCCTCCCTAATACACAACTTTCCTTGTATGAATCTTAGTCTTGGCTTCGTCTCTGTAGATGCCTTCCTCTCCCACTACATTGTAAAATGCTCCAAAGTTCAGAACACTCGTGACCTAACCTGATTCCTCCTTTTTTCTTCTTCTCCCTCTTCCCCTTTCCTTTTTCTCCTTTGGGTTGTCTTTCTTCTGCCCTGTGTATTTGTTTCTTCTTTATTTACTTATTTATTTGTTTTCCCCCTCGGTGTTCTTGCTCTTATCCTCTTTGGGCACCAGCTCCCTTGCAGTGCTCCTCTTTCTTAGTATTTGACTGGCCCCTCCTACTCTTACTACCTCCCCTCTACTACTTCCTTCAACCTCCACTACTACCACCTCCTGCCTATATATAGCCATCCTGCTCTCCTTCTCGTTAGTGTGACTTTGTAAATGGTCCAAGTAGACCAAAACGTCGTCGTTAGCTCCTCTCTTCTATGTGCGGGTTATTTGTGTATATTTGTTCTTTATTGTCAGTTGACTTCTTACAATTAACACACTGACTGTCACCTTCTGAGGTGGGGTGACCCAAAGAAGAAACACTTTCACCATCATTCACTCTATCACTCTCTTAAGAACATAAGAAAGAAGGAACACTGCAGCAAGCCTACCGGCTTAAGCCAGTGCCTTAACCTAGTCAGGTCAGTCACATTCATTAAGGTAGGAGCACAGCATCTGACCTAGTAGTACAATTAGTCAGGTCCAGCTCACACCCACCCACATAAACTCATGTATTTATCCATCTTATTTTTAAACTACACAACTTCTTAGTTTCTATGACTGTACTCGGGAGTTTGTTCCACTCATCCACAACTCTATTACTAAACCAGTGCTTTCCTATATCCTTCCTGAATCTGAATTTTACCATCTTAAAACCATTGCTGCGAGTCTTGTCTATGCTAGATATTTTTAGCACGGTATTTACATCCCCTTTATTAATTCCTGTTTTCCATTTATACACCTCAGTCATATACCCCCTAATTCTACGCCTTTCTAGAGAGTGCAGATTCAGGGCCCTTAGTCTATCCTCAGAGGGAAGATTTCTGATACATGGCATCCTCCTTTGTACATTTTCCAGTGCATTTATATCCATTCTGTAATTCAGTGACCAAAACTGTACAGCATAATCAAAATGAGGCCTAACGAAAGATATATAGAGTTGAAGAACAACCCGAGGACTTCTATTATTTATACTTCTTGATATGAAGCCAAGGATTCTGTTAGCTTTATTGCAAACACTTATGTACTGTTGTCTTGGTTTCATATTACTGCTAACCAGAACTCCTAAATCCTTTTCATAATCCGCAGTATTAAGGTCTACATTATTTAGTTTATATGTAACATGATGATGTGAATGATGGTGAAAGTTTTTCTTTTTCGGGCCACCCTGCCTTGGTGGGAATCGGCCAGTGTGATAATAAATAAATAAAAATGGTTATTTTCCTGTCCAACATTTAGAACTTTGCATATGTCTATATTAAACTGCATCTGCCACTTCTCCGACCATTGCATCAGTCTATTCAAATCATCCTGGAGTGCTCTAATGTCCTCATTAGAATGAATTGGATGGCCTATTTTGGTGCCATCAGCAAATTTGCTTATGTTGCTATTTATTCCCTCATCTATGTTGTTTATGTAAATTGTGAACAACAAGGGGCCCAACACTGACCCCTGTGAAACACTGCTTGTGACATGCCCCCATTCTGATTTCTCCCCATTTATGCAAACTCTCTGCTGCCTATTTGTCAACCATGCCTCTATGCAGGAAAAAATTTCTCCTATTTCATGTGCCTTAAGTTTCCTCTGATGTGGAACTCTATCGAAAGCCTTACTGAAATCCACATATGCACTATCATATTCAGTACTGTGGTCTGCCTCCTCAAATACTTTAGTGAATATTGATTCCATAAATTTTCCAACTGTGGAGGTAAGGCTTATTGGTCTATAGTTCAAAGCTAAGGACCTGTCACCTGCCTTGTAAATAGCTATTACATTTGCTATTTTCCACTTGTCTGGCACAATGCCAGTGTGTAGTGATACATTGAAAAGATTAGCCAAAGGTATGCTAATTTCCTCTTTACATTCCTGGGGATTTGTTAGGTTTTAATTTCTCTATTTGTCTGAGGATCGTGTCACTAGTTACACCAACAGTGCATAGTTTATTATTGTCCTGTTCTACATAATTTATTATTTCTAGAATTTTGCTAGTATCTTCCTGAGTAAAACCTGAGAGGAAGTAGGTATTGAAAAATTCACACATTTCCTTATCACTGTCAGTGATCTGACCTGAGTTACTCTTAAGTGGGCCTATCTTGTCCCTAGCCTTACCTCTGTATACATGAAACAACCCTTTTGGGTTAGTCTTCGAATCCCTTGTGACTTTAGCCTCATAATCCCTTTTTGTTTTCTTATTCCTTTTTTTTTATATCTCTCTAATTGAATATGTTGATTTCTCAACTGCCCTTTCCCTCTTTTGATATGCCTATATGTGCCTCTCTTTTGACCAATGAGATGTTTTAATCTATTGTTTATCAATTTGGGATCATTTTTGTTAGATCTAATTTCCCTACTCAGAACAAAAGTTGTACGGGCAGCTAGCACTATGCTCTGAAACACATCATATTGGCATCATATTAGCCCACCCAGGCAATTTCTCAACCCCATGAAGTCAGCCAAGCGAAAGTCTGGAACAGTGACTTGATTGCAGTTATCTGGGTAATTCCATGATGTATTGAGACTAAGTGATTTGTGATCACTTTCCCCAAGCTCATCATTAACCTCAAGATTATAACTAGTGATTCTTTGTTGGCAAGAACCAAGTCAAGCAGGTTGTTTCCTCTAGTTGGTTCTGTCATAAACTGTTTTAAACAGCAGTTCAGCTGCCCCTCCAAACTACAAATATTATGATTATTAATTATTATTATTTTTTAGATAGTGTATCTGTTAAATTCTAAATTTTATTCTGTGTTCTTGCCATAGATAAATGTCAGTGAGGCTTCAATGAAAGATTTAAGCCAAATATATGACATCAGTAATGATGAGGCTGTCCATATGGTGCACATCAGCCAGTGTCCACAGGTGTCTGATAAAAATATGAGGAAAACTCTGTATTTCCTAAAGGATCATGGCATCACATCACAGCAGCTGCAGCGAATACCATGGATACTTTTACATTCATCAGGTTTGTGGCTATGATTGGTGTAAATTGAATAAAACCAATACAGTACAATACAAAGTATCTTCACCAGATGCCAGATCAACCAGACTGTGATGGATATGTGAGGTATCAGGCCTCCAGCAGTAACAGCCTTGTTAACCAGGCAAGCACCAGACAAGCCTGGCCCATGACCTGGCTCCATGAGTAGTGAAACTCGAAACTTATCAAGAGTATATCAACCTGGAGGTTTATCCACCCAGAGTAACCCAAGAATGTCAGTTCATTATTGAGGACTATCTGTCTTATTTCCATTGTGGTCCTTCAGTCTTGTCCCCCCAGAATGCAACCCACACCAGTCAACTGACACCCAGGTACCTACTTACTGCTAAGTAAACAGGAAGAGCGAGTGTTAGGAAACACTTGATTTACATGCACAGAAGAAAGCCATTAACATGCAGTGCATTTTAGGCAAACTAATTCTAATGTTTAAACATTAAGATTTAAACATAGACTACTAAGTAATAATTTTTTTTTTTTTCAACAAGTTGGTCGTCTCCCACCGAGGCAGGGTGACCCAAAAAAAGAAAGAAAATCCCCAAAAAGAAAATACTTTCATAATCATTCAACACTTTCACCACACTCACACATTATCACTGCTTTTGCAGAGGTGCTCAGAATACAACAGTTTAGAAGAATATACGTACAAAGATACACAACATATCCCTCCAAACTGCCAATATCCCAAACCCCTCCTTTAAAGTGCAGGCATTGTACTTCCCATTTCCAGGACTCAAGTCCGACTATAAGAAAATAACCGGTTTCCCTGAATCCCTTCACTAAATATTACCCTGCTCACACTCCAACAGATCGTCAGGTCCCAAGTATCATTTGTCTCCATTCACTCCTATCTAACATGCTCATGCACGCTTGCTGGAAGTCCAAGCCCCTCGCCCACAAAACCTCCTTTACCCCCTCTTTCCAACCCTTTCGAGGACGACCCCTACCCCTCTTTCCTTCCCCTATAGATTTATATGCTTTTCATGTCATTCTACTTTGATCCATTCTCTCTAAATGACCAAACCACCTCAACAACCCCTCTTCTGCCCTCTGACTAATGCTTTTATTAACTCCACATCTTCTCCTAATTTCCACACTCCGAATTTTCTGCATAATATTTACACCACACATTGCCCTTAGACAGGACATCTCCACTGCCTCCAACCGTCTCCTCGCTGCTGCATTTACCACCCAAGCTTCACATCCATATAAGAGTGTTGGTACTACTATACTTTCATACATTCCCTTCTTTGCCTCCATAGATAACGTTTTTTGACTCCACATATACCTCAATGCACCACTCACCTTTTTTCCCTCATCAGTTCTATGATTAACCTCATCCTTCATAAATCCATCCGCCGACACGTCAATTCCCAAGTATCTGAAAACATTCACTTCTTCCATACTCCTCCTCCCCAATTTGATATCCAATTTTTCTTTATCTAAATCATTTGATACCCTCATCACCTTACTCTTTTCTATGTTCACTTTCAACTTTCTACCTTTACACACATTCTCAAACTCATCCACTAACCTTTGCAATTTTTCTTTAGAATCTCCCATAAGCACAGTATCATCAGCAAAAAGTAACTGTGTCAATTCCCATTTTGAATTTGATTCCCCATAATTTAATCCCACCCCTCTCCCGAACACCCTAACATTTACTTCTTTTACAACCCCATCTATAAATATATTAAACAACCATGGTGACATTACACATCCCTGTCTAAGACCTACTTTTACCGGGAAGTATTCTCCCTCTCTTCTACACACCCTAACCTGAGCCTCACTATCCTCATAAAAGCTCTTTACAGCATTTAGTAACTTACCACCTATTCCATAAACTTGCAACATCTGCCACATTGCTCCTCTATCCACTCTATCATATGCCTTTTCTAAATCCATAAATGCAATAAAAACTTCCCTACCTTTATCTAAATACTGTTCACATATATGCTTCAATGCAAACACTTGATCTACACATCCCCTACCCACTCTGAAGCCTCCTTGCTCATCCGCAATTCTACATTCTGTCTTACCTCTAATTCTTTCAATTATAACTCTACCGTATACTTTTCCTGGTATACTCAGTAAACTTATTCCTCTATAATTTTTACAATCTCTTTTGTCCCCTTTCCCTTTATATAAAGGGACTATACATGCTCTCCGCCAATCCCTAGGTACCTTCCCCTCTTTCGTACATTTATTAAACAAAAGTACCAACCACTCCAACACTATATCCCTCCCTGCTTTTAACATTTCTGTCATGATCCCATCAGTTCCAGCTGCTTTACCCCCTTTCATTCTACGTAATGCCTCACGTACCTCCACCACACTTACATTCTGCTCTTCTTCACTCCTAAAAGATGGTATACCTCCCTGGCCAGTGCATGAAATTACCGCCTCCCTTTCTTCCTCAACATTTAAAAGTTCCTCAAAATATTCTCGCCATCTACCTAATACCTCCCTCTCCCCATCTACTAACTCCCCTACTCTGTTTTTAACAGACAAATCCATACTTTCCCTAGGCTTTCTTAATTTGTTTAACTCACTCCAAAATTTTTTCTTATTTTCATTAAAATTTCTTGACAGTGCCTCTCCCACTCTTTCATCTGCTCTCCTTTTGCACTCTCTCACCACTCTCTTCACCTTTCTTTTACTCTCCATATACTCTGCTCTTCTTATAACACTTCTGCTTTGTAAAAACCTCTCGTAAGCTACCTTTTTCTCTTTTATCACACCCTTTACTTCATCATTCCGCCAATCACTCCTCTTTCCTCCTGCCCCCACCCTCCTATAACCACAAACTTCTGCCCCACATTCTAATACTGCATTTTTAAAACTATTCCAACCCTCTTCAACCCCCCCACTACTCATCTTTGCACTAGCCCACCTTTCTGCCAATAGTCGCTTATATCTCGCCCGAACTTCCTCCTCCCTTAGCTTATACACTTTCACCTCCCTCTTACTTGTTGTTGCCACCTTCCTCTTTTCCCATCTACCTCTTACTCTAACTGTAGCTACAACTAAATAATGATCTGATATATCAGTTGCCCCTCTATAAACATGTACATCCTGGAGCCTACCCATCAACCTTTTATCCACCAATACATAATCTAACAAACTACTTTCATTACATGCTACATCATACCTTGTATATTTATTTATCCTCTTTTTCATAAAATATGTATTACTTATTACCAAATTTCTTTCTACACATAGCTCAATTAAAGGCTCCCCATTTACATTTACCCCTGGCACCCCAAATTTACCTACTACTCCCTCCATAACATTTTTACCCACTTTAGCATTGAAATCCTCAACCACCATTACTCTCACACTTGATTCAAAACTCCCCACGCATTCACTCAACATTTCCCAGAATCTCTCTCTCTCTCCTCTACACTTCTCTCTTCTCCAGGTGCATATATGCTTACTATAACCCACTTTTCACATCCAATCTTTATTTTACTCCACATAATCCTTGAATTTATGCATTTGTATTCCCTCTTTTCCTGCCATAGCTTATCCTTCAACATTATTGCTACTCCTTCTTTAGCTCTAACTCTATTTGAAACCCCTGACCTAATCCCATTTATTCCTCTCCATTGAAACTCTCCCACCCCCTTCAGCTTTGTTTCACTTAAAGCCAGGACATCCAGTTTCTTCTCATTCATAACATCCACAATCATCTGTTTCTTATCATTTGCACAACATCCACGCACATTCAGACTTCCCACTTCGACAATTTTCTTCTTCTTATTCTTTTTAGTAATCTTTACAGGAAAAGGGGTTACTAGCCCATTGTTCCCGGCATTTTAGTTGACTTTTACAACACGCATGGCTTACGGAGGAAAGATTCTTATTCCACTTCCCCATGGATATAAAAGGAAAAGTAATAAGACCAAGAACTATTAAGATAAAATCAAAGAAAACTCAGATGAGTGTGTATAAATAAACATGTACATGTATGTGTAGTGTGACCTAAGTGTAAGTAGAAGTAGCAAGACGTACCTGTAATCTTGCATATTTATGAGACAGACAAAAGACACCAGCAATCCTACCATCATGTAAAACAATTACAGGCTTTCGTTTTACACTCACTTGGCAGGACGGTAGTACCTCCCTGGGTGGTTGCTGTCTACCAACCTACTACCTATAATAATAACAATAATAATAATAATAATAATCTTTATTTCTAGAAGTACATGTACAAGGTATACAGGCCTAGCTGACATTAATGGCATATGTACTACTATATAGAATGCCCATTGTTATGCAGAGCATTTCAGGCAAATTAGATCAGTGTGGCAGATGTTGCAGGTGTATGGTATAGGAGGTAGGTTACTGAAAGCAGTGAAGAGTTTTTACGAGGATAGTGAGGCTCAAGTTAGAGTATGTAGGAAAGAGGGAAATTATTTCCCAGTAAAAGTAGGCCTTAGACAAGGATGTGTGATGTCACCGTGGTTGTTTAATATATTTATAGATGGGGTTGTAAGAGAAGTAAATGCGAGGGGCTTGGCAAGAGGCGTGGAGTTAAAAGATAAAGAATCACACATAAAGTGGGAGTTGTCACAGTTGCTCTTTGCTGATGACACTGTGCTCTTGGGAGATTCTGAAGAGAAGTTGCAGAGGTTGGTGGATAAATTTGGTAGGGTATGCAAAAGAAGAAAATTAAAAGTGAATACAGGAAAGAGTAAGGTTATGAGGATAACAAAAAGATTAGGTGATGAAAGATTGGATATCAGATTGGAAGGAGAGAGTATGGAGGAGGTGAATGTATTCAGATATTTGGGAGTGGACATGTCAGCGGATGGGCCTATGAAAGATGAGGTGAATCATAGAATTGATGAGGGGAAAAGGGTGAGTGGTGCACTTAGGAGTCTGTGGAGACAAAGAACTTTGTCCTTGGAGACAAAGAGGGGAATGTATGAGAGTATAGTTTTACCAACGCTCTTATATGGGTGTGAAGCATGGGTGATGAATGTTGCAGCGAGGAGAAGGCTGGAGACAGTGGAGATGTCATGTCTGAGGGCAATGTTTGGTGTGAATATAATGCAGAGAATTCGTAGTTTGGAAGTTAGGAGGAGGTGCGGGATTACCAAAACTGTTGTCCAGAGGGCTGAGGAAGGGTTGTTGAAACATCCTAATGTTTCCAGCCATATAGGGGATTGACCCCGGATCTCAGTGTGAAATGAGTGTGCTAATGATCGATCTATGGGATACCCAAGTATGATTTCTTATGCAATTAACTACAATTATATGTACAATAAGAAAGGTAGCTAATGAACAAATGGTACAATTTTGAAAGTATAGCTTATTTTTCCATTTAAATTTTTACTGTTAAAATCCAGGTTGTACTTTCTCACTCGTTGTTGGGTGGCAGCTTTTGGAGAATAGGGTTTCAAAAAAATATGTCAATATACACTTGATGTAATGGACTGATAGGGGGGAGAATTGTCTGAGTGTCTGGTAACCCTTTCACTGTTGTGACTCCTGGAATTTAAAGTGCTGCGATTGAAAAAACATAATGATAACTTTATCCTCAAAAATTTTAAGGATTTTTTGTTGAGGCAATGACACCATATAGTATTTGAAATTTGATGGTAAATTTACAGAATTACAGAGGTGCAAACTCAGAGGTTAGGAGGATATTACATAATTGTGATTTTCACCCACTTTGAGGCTTATTTTAGAACAATTCCAGTGCTCAAACCAACCTAATGCAGGCAATTTTGCTAGTATTTCTTCTGTTCTATCAGTTGAGTACAAGAAACTGCCTATTCAGTTATTAGAACTACCCTGTAAAATAACCAGAATCAGTAATTTAGCCTGTTTTACAAAAAAAAAAAAAAAATGGAATAACAGAGTCCAAGGTAAACTGTATGTATTCCAGCCATTAAAGCAACCTTTCCTTTATTCATTAATGGTTCACTAATGACATCTTCAGGCCTTTTCTATCATATAGCATATATAATGATACGTATATATATAATGATATACAGTATATAACAATTTGTTTAATGGGAGGAATTCTAATAATTTAGTAAAATGTAGATCTTGCTTAGACTAAAAAGTTTAAGGTTTGCTATATGAAAATACCATGTATGATTTGAAGGAATATGTATTTTTTATGGAGATTATATAATATAACAGTTATCGTCTCTCTGAACAGGTATCCTTCAAGAAAAATTCAAGAAATTGTTAGAACCTCATTTATTCCAAAATTTCTCAGATGGTTTGGGATTTTGCTACTTTCCAGTGAAAAAAATTGCTGTTTATCAAAAAAAATTCAAGTTAGAAGCAGCTGATTTTCCCAATCATCCCAACCGTATATACTATCTGGCAGAGAGGTTGAAGGTAAGATGTTGATAAAATTAGTTTTTTATTTTTATAATGTTCCCTCTGATGAGGGCGGTACAGTAAGTCATTGACTTAACAACAGATTGAGAAACTTTTGTATTAAGTATAGTATCATTATTATATCATTATTGTGTATAATATCATTATTGTGTATAATATTTTTATATCATTATTGTGTATAATATCATTATTATATCATTAGTAAGTAAGTAAGTAAGTTTATTCAGGTATACACAAATACAGTTACATAGAATTATCATACATAGCAGCATATGTGTAGAGAACCTAGGATAACCCAAAAAAGTCAGACACAGTGACTTATTTCCATTGGGGTCCTTTTACCTTATTATTATAATATAAAGGTTATAATATTTTTTTATTGTTCTATAATGAAGATAGCATCTTATTATCATACTAAAAAAAATATCTACTGCACAAGGGTCATTATGACTACAATGACGAGGGTCATTACTAGGAATAAGGTAATATTTACGCGTATGTTAGCTAAAAAATAGAAAATCATTCCCCTCCCTTTCTGTAACTACATTCATCAGACACCTTTTGGCACTCTTCTTGAACTGGTTCATGCCATGACTGGCTTTGACATGTGCAGGCAGATTGTTCCATTCCTTTATTGCTGTACAATAAAAGGTGTTTGAAGCCTGGCCAATGACTGTGGGTACTACAAAGTTGTGCTCTCTCCCCCTAGTACTATGATTGCTTTGGTTCCCAACCTTGACAAAATTGACAGCAAGATATTCTGGACACTGTTTGTGAGCAATTTTATAAACATGATTTAGCTTCAGTTGTTTTACTCTGTCTTCAACATTCAGCATATCCAACTGCTGTAATTCATTCTGGCCTACATGCTGTCTTGGTCCCAGCCCCAGGATGAATCTTACGATTTGTTCTTGGTGATTTGCAGTCTATCTTTCAGTTTTTTTGTCAAGGCAGAGTACCAAGAAGAGCAAGCGTAATCCATATGACATTGTATAAGGGCTAGACATAGGGTCCTGCGAGCCTCAGTAGGTAGACACTGTGCTTGTCTATACAGGAACTTCAGTCTGGCATTCGCTTTCTTTACTACACTGTTCCCTATCAATTCTCCTGACATGCATGGGTCAAAGGGGATTCCCAGATATTTTACTGATGAAACCAAAGTGATGGGCTCCCCATTACACTGGACATTAAAATTATTTACCCTTCTCAGTTTATGTTTCGTGCCAAAGAGAATGGCTTCAGTTTTCCCTAGGTGTAATGATAGTTTGTTGTCTACTAACCATTTGCTGCAGGACTCCAGTTCCAGTGTTAAAACATTAGCTATATCTTGTGGGTCTTTACCTGACACTAACAGAGCACTGTCATCTGCATACAGTAAGAGTTTGCACTTAACACTGATAGGCATGTCATTGACAAAACATAAGAATAATAAGGGACCCAGAATACTACCTTGGGGAACTCCACATGCTATCGGCAGGGGTTCTGATTCCGTTTTGTTGATTTTGAGAATTTGTCTCCTGTTGCTAAGGTAGGACTTAAACCAGTCTACAGAACCTATACCAATATCATTTTATATCATTATTGTGTATATCATTATTATATAATTATTGTGTATAATATCATTATTATATCATTATTGTATATAATGTCATTATTATATTATTATTGTGTATAATATCATTATTGAAAGAATTAAGAGTAAGATGGAGAATAGGATAGCAGATGAACAAGGAGGCTTTAGGAAAGGTAGGGAGTGTGTGGACCAGGTGTTTACAGTGAAACATATAAGTGAACAGTATTTAGATAAGGCTAAAGAGGTCTTTGTGGCATTTATGGATTTGGAAAAGGCGTATGACAGGGTGGATAGGGGGGCAATGTGGCAGATGTTACAGGTGTATGGTGTAGGAGGTAGGTTACTGAAAGCAGTGAAGAGTTTTTACGAGGATAGTGAGGCTCAAGTTAGAGTATGTAGGAAAGAGGGAAATTATTTCCAAGTAAAAGTAGGCCTTAGACAAGGATGTGTGATGTCACCATGGTTGTTTAATATATTTATAGATGGGGTTGTAAGAGAAGTAAATGCAAGGGTCTTGGCAAAAGGTGTGGAGTTAAAAGATAAAGAATCACACATAAAGTGGGAGTTGTCACAGTTGCTCTTTGCTGATGACACTGTGCTCTTGGGAGATTCTGAAGAGAAGTTGCAGAGATTGGTGGATGAATTTGGTAGGGTGAGCAAAAGAAGAAAATTAAAAGTGAATACAGGAAAGAGTAAGATTATGAGGATAACAAAAAGATTAGGTGATGAAAGATTGGATATCAGACTGGAGGGAGAGAATATGGAGGAGGTGAATGTATTCAGATATTTGGGAGTGGACGTGTCAGCGGATGGGTCTATGAAAGATGAGGTGAATCATAGAGTTGATGAGGGGAAAAGGGTGAGCGGTGCACTTAGGAGTCTGTGGAGACAAAGAACTTTGTCCTTGGAGGCAAAGAGGGGAATGTATGAGAGTATAGTTTTTACCAACGCTCTTATATGGGTGTGAAGCATGGGTGATGAATGTTGCAGCGAGGAGAAGGCTGGTGACAGTGGAGATGTCATGTCTGAGGGCAATGTGTGGTGTGAATATAATGCAGAGAATTCGTAGTTTGGAAGTTAGGAGGAGGTGCGGGATTACCAAAACTGTTGTCCAGAGGGCTGAGGAAGGGTTGTTGAGGTGGTTTGGACATATAGAGAGAATGGAGCAAAACAGAAGGACTTCAAGAGTGTATCAGTCTGTAGTGGAAGGAAGGCGGGGTAGGGGTCAGCCTAGGAAAGGTTGGAGGGAGGGGGTAAAGGAGGTTTTGTGTGCGAGGGGCTTGGACTTCCAGCGGGCATGCGTGAGCGTGTTTGATAGGAGTGAATGGAGACAAATGGTTTTTAATACTTGACGTGCTGTTGGAGTGTGAGCAAAGTAACATTTATGAAGGGATTCAGGGAAACCGGCAGGCCGGACTTGAGTCCTGGAGATGGGAAGTACAGTGTCTGCACTCTGAAGGAGGGGTGTTAATGTTGCAGTTTAAAAACTGTAGTGTAAAGCACCCTTCTGGCAAGACTGTGATGGAGTGAATGATGGTGAAAGTTTTTCTTTTTCGGGCCACCCTGCCTTGGTGGGAATCGGCCAGCGTGATAATAAATAAAAAAAAAATATTGTGTATAATATCATTATTGTATCATTATTGTGTATAATATCATTATTATACATAATACAGAAGGTTCCTATCGTGTTTGTAAGTTGAAAACTTCCTGTATTATGAATTTTATATATAATTCAGGAGGTCCATAATGTGTTTGTCAGTCAAGGACTTACTGTATTCAGAAAAAAAATAGAGGCACATAATGGGTCTAGGGACTAGGCCTAAACAGGTTACACTTATTATCTACAATTTATTGAATGCTGTTAATAGTAATGGTTGCGCTATTACATTAGGTAAAGTTGGGTTATTTTTCCAGAATTTATAGTAATGAGTCATTGCAAATGAAAAATCTTGGTATTCGTTAAACACATGTGAAGGAGTTGCCTTTCCAGAGGACCACATACTGATGACATCAGTATTAACTGATACTGATGACATCAATATTAACTGATACTGGTGCCATCAATATTAACTGATACTGTTGCTATCACAATTAGCCAATATTGTTGCCATCACAATTAGCCAATACTGTTGCCATCAAAATTAGCCGATCCTGATGCCTTGAAAATTAGTTAAACCTACTCACCATACAAAACATCCATACTTATTACTGCACCTATTACATACATAGAACACTTAACTCTGATATTAACCCTCCCCTCAAACATCTCCTTGCCAACCTCAACAGAACACATGACCATAACACAAGGCACAGATCACTCTTTGATGTTCCTCGTGTCCATCTCACACTATGCAAAAACTCAATGCACATAAAAGGCCCTAAAATCTGGAATTCATTACCTGTAAATATAAAAGAAACACTACCTGTTTATAAATTCAAGTCTCTTCTCAAGATCACATACTCACCCAAACCAAATAAATACTGAATAACTGAACCTTATAAATTGATATCTTAAATGTTTCTCATTAATTTTTTTTTATTATTATCACACTGGCCCGAATCCCACCAAGGCAGGGTGGCCCCGAAAAAGAAAAACATACACCATCATTCCCTCCATCACTGTCTAGCAGAATGGTGCTTTACACTACAGTTTTTTAAACTGCAAACCTTAACACCCTCCTCGATGTGCAGCACTGCAATCTTCCCATCTCCAGGACTCACGTCCGGCCTGCCGGTTTCCCTGAATCCCTTCATAAATGTTCCTTTGCACACACTCCAACAGCACGTCAAGTATTAAAAACCATTTGTCTCCATTCCACTCCTATCAAACACGCTCACGCATGCCTGCTGAAGTCCAAGCCCCACGCACACAAAACCTCCTTTAAAGACAATTAAAGAACTAATAAAAAAAAACCCCCCCCACCAACCCTTTCCTAGGCCGACCCCTACCCCGCCTTCCTTCCACTCAGACTGATACACTCTTGAAGTCATCGATTTCTGCTCCATTCTCTAAACATGTCCGAACCACCTCAACAACCCTTCCTCAGCCCTCTGGACAACAGTTTTTGTAATCCCGCACCTCCTCCTAACTTCCAAACTACGAATTCTCTGCATTATATTCACACCACACATTGCCCTCAGACATGACTCTCCACTGCCTCCAGCCTTCTCCTCGACCTGCAACATTCATCACCCACGCTTCACACCCATATAAGAGCGTTGGTAAAACTATACTCTCATACATTCCCCTCTTTGTCCTCCAAGGACACAGTTCTTTGTCTCCACAGACACCTAAGTGCACCACCTCACTCTTTTCCTCATAAATTCTAGATTCACCTCATCTTTCCTAGACCCATCCGCTGACACATCCACTCCCAAATATCTGAATACGTTCACCACTCCCACACCTCTCCCTCCAATCTGA